ACAATTGTTATACTGAGGGTGTGTTTGTTACTTTTGTCTCATTGCTTGGACAAAACACCCAACACTCAAAGTTAAGGTAGGAAAGGTTTATTTAGCTCACAGTTTGTGGAAGTTCCAGTCCATAATCAGCTGGCTCTAAGGCGGGTGGCATGGCACAAGGGCAATAGTTCATGGCAGTGGAAGACAGCAAAAGTACAAAAGAGAGGAAAAGAAAGTGCTCTAAACGATATAACTGCATGTATATTTAAGTGTATAAGATAGATAATGATATTACTGAGTTTTGTTGGATCATTGAACAGAACTGTTTGCAGTCTCACTGTCTGAATGTCCACTTTATATGCTTTAATTTTGTAACTTGAACAAATATTTCTAAGATGACAATATGTAATCCATTAACTAGTGATTTCCTACTGTTTATTTTTTTTCTGAAATTCTGTATAACTTGTACCCTTTTTCTGCTTTTTTTTCTTTTTCTCCTTAAATAAAATTTTTTAAAAAAGACAGAAAAAGCAATAAGAGTAAAAGTTGGGAAGCAAGCCTCTTTTCCTCACTTATACTGTAAGCAGGCTGCCTGCCCTACAGCAGTTGTTGCACTCATACTATCTCCATGCCCCGTCTTGCATAGCCTGAGGATGTTTACAAAGTGAGGACCCTGACCCCTTGCGAAGTCACTTAGGCTTCTAAACTTCTTAAACTGACACAATATATCAACCAATACAAAGGGTTTATTTGCTGCATACAATTTTCTAGTTTGTTTTAAATTTTGTTATATAACCACAAATCTAGTTCATATGGCTAAAGGTAGAAAATTAATAGCTACCTCAGTTTGTCATTTTCTAGGCTGTGTTTGATGCTATTGTTATTGCTGGTTATACCATGTTAGCTAAAGTGATATAATTGTTCTAACCAGTTGTTCTTTCTGGTAAACCAAGACTGAGATTGCCTAAGAATCATAAAAACACTATAGGCCAGTGTCAAAGAACCACAAGCTGGGCCACGTAGGTAGCAACTTCTCATCTCAAATAAATTGAAGAGATGGGACCTTGTGACAGACTCAAGTTCCAAAAGCCAGCTATGTCTGGAAGACTCCTCTAAGGAGTAGTCATTCCCTAAGAGTTATAAGTACTAGCAATAAAACTACTCAACACTGGCAATTTACAAGCATCAACTCAGAAATTATACTAAAAACAAATTAAGAAAACACCTAAACAAGATGTAACCCCAGATGTCCAGCGCACCAAAGACAAACCCAGGAGGTAATAAGATGGGATAATCTTAAAGTCACCCACCTGGGCTCTCTGAAGTGGTAACAGTGAAAATAACAAGGCAAATGAATGAGGGTCTAGAAAAAAATCATATCAGAAATAATTTCTCAGGTAACTATAGAGATGGCAACCACAATGAAAGACATGCTTACTAACAGAGCAGATATAGATTTAAAAAAATAGAGGAGCTCAGGAAACTAATAGAAATCATGAAAACCCAAAATAGAAAATAAATGTAATCCATAAAACAGATTCATACAGATATCCAGTAGATTAAAAATTCTACTGAAAGTATTTACAGGATGAGCCAGTGTGAGGACAATCTCAGATATAAAAGACAGACTTGCAGTTAGTGGTGATGAAAAGATAGATTTCATGGCCTAATGAGAAATCAATCCAGGAGCTGCTAGATGATGCAAAGAATAACATCACTGATTGGAGTCAATGAAAAAAGCAGAAAACAGTGAAAATGATATTAAAATAAAAACCTGTTCACTGGGGTCATGGCAGAAAAATTCCTGGACAGGAAAAAAGAATTTGAGATACAGATAAGTTAAGCATGTAGAATTCCAATTAAGCATCATTTTTTAAAAAAGCCTGTAGCAAGGCATATAATAGTCAAGAGTTCAGAAATTCAACACAAGAACATAATATTAAAAGCTTTTAAAGAAAAAAATCACCTATAAAGAAAAATTCATTAGAATCACAGATAACTTCTTAACACAAACCCTCAAATATATAAGGAGAACTTGGAGTAATGTATTTCAAGCCCTAAAAGAAAACAACCTCCAGTGCAGATTGATATACTCCTCAAAACTATCTTTCAGAATTGACAGAAAAATAAGATACTTGCATAACAAAGAACTGAAGAAATTAATGAACATAAAACCACTTTCACACCTGTAGTGTCCAAAAAACATAGCAAGGATTACAACTCCAAAAACTCCAACAGAATGAATCCACCAGGTAAGGCAAACAATACACAGAGTAAAAAGAGAGATAACAACAGGAAAATAACATAACAGGGTAAGTCAGTAATATCAGTTATAACCATAAATGCTAATGATCTCAGTTGACCAATCAAAAGAAACAGCTGACAGAATGGATAAAGAAGCAAGACCCAACAATATGCTACATACCAGAAACACATTTAAGATGAAACTTTTTGACTGAAAATGAAAGGATGGGAAATGATACCTATGCTACAGGAATCCACAAAAAACCAGAGGTAGCTATTCTGTTTTCAGACAAAGTGGATTTCAAGCCAAGATTGATTAAGAGACACAAAGAAGATCACTGCATGCTTGTAAAGGAAACAATCTAAGAGTAAGAGATATCAATCCTAATTATAGATGCACCAAATACCAGTGCACCCTGGACATGAAAAATCAAATAAGCACTAAAATGATGATAAGGTGGGACCTCAGTATCCCACTGTCACAAAAAGACTGATCAACTAGACAAAAATCAACAACTTCACAAACACATGGATATTAAATAACACCCTCTTGCACAATCAGTTTGTAACTGATGAAATTAAAGAAGAAATTAGACAGTTTCTACAATTAAACAATAATATATTACAACATACCCGAACTGATAGGACATAATGAAAGCCAGGTATACAAAGTCAAGTCACAGCAATGAATACCTGTATTAGGAAAACACAGCAAACTCAAATAAACAACTTAATGCTGAATTTCAAGCTTCTAGAGAAAAAGAGAACATGAAGGCCAAAGCTTGTAGGGAGAAATTACAAAGACCAGAGGAGAAATTAATGCAAGAGAGACTAAGAAACCAAAGTTGATTCTTTGATTCTATTCCTTGATTCTTTGTAAGACTGAATTAAAATTGATAACTCTTAGCCAACCTTACCAAAAAAGGGAAGGAAGACTCAAGCCTATGAAATTAGAAATGAAAAGGGTGAAATCACAATAAACCCTGCAGAAATCCAGGATCATATATACCTACTTTGACAACTTATATTCTAATAAGATGGAAAATGCAGAAGAAATAGGCAGATTCCTAGATACATATGAATGACCAGAGCTGAATCAAGAAGATATAAAAATTCTAAATAAACCAGTATCTTTCAATGAAATTGAAAATATAATTAAAAACCTAGCAAAAAAGAAAAAGCCCAGGCCCTGATGGATATACTACTGAATTCTATAAGAAGACCTAATACTGATACTTCTCAAACTCTCTAATGAAATTGAAAGGGAAGCAATACTCCCAAATTCATTTCTAAAAGCAAGTATTATCCTGATACCAAAGCCAGAGAAGGATCCACCTAAAAAGGAGAACTATATGTCAGTCTTTCCAAGGAATATAGCAAAAATCCTCAATAAAATACTGGCAAACAATGTAGCAAATTCTCAAGAAAATTATACACCATGATTAAGGAGGACGCAGGGATGCAGGGATGGCTCAACATACAAAAATCAACAAATGTAATACACCATATTAACAGAGCCATGGACAAAAACCACATGATCATCTCAATAGATGCAGAATAAGCATTTGACAAAGTCCAGAATCTACTCATGACAAAAAATCTAAAGAAAACTGGAATAGATGGTCTTTATCTCAATCTGATAAAAAATCACCTGTGATAAACATTATACAAAAATAATGTCAACATTATACAAAATGAACAAAGCCTGAAAGCTTTCACTGTAAAATCAGAAACAAGATAAGGATGTTCACTCTCATCATTCTTATTCACTATAGTTCTGGGAACAGCCAGAGCAATTAGACAAGAGACAGAAATAAAAGGAATAAAGATAGGAAAGGAAGTTAAATTATCATTATTCATGGTGACATGATACTCTATACAGAAGACCCCAAAAGTCCACCAAAAGACTTCTGGATTTAATAAGCAAATTCTGTAGCATAGCTGGATACAAAGTTGACACTCAAAAATCAACAGCATTTTTGTACACAAATAACAAACTCACTGAGAAAGAAATTAGGAAAACAACACCTTTCATAACAGCATCCAAAAAATGAAATACCTAGGAATTAATCTAATGTAGGAAGTAAAAGACCTCTACATTGAAAACTATGGTCTTCTAAAAAAGGAGATTCAAGAAGATACCAGAAAATGAAAAGATAACTGATGTTCTTGGGTAGGAAGAACCAATATAGTGAAAATAGCCATACTTCCAAAATTGTTACAGAGATTTAATGTAATCTCAAACAAAATACCATCAGCATATCTCACAGAACTAGAGAAAATAGTCATAAAATTTATTTGGAACCAAAAGAGATCTAGAATAGCAAAAGCAATTCTGAGCAACAAAGGCAAGGCAAGGGGTATCCCAATCTCTGACTTGAAATTATACTACAAGGCTACTGTGATAAAAAAAAATAGCATGGTGTGGGCAAAAAAATCATATCCAAAAACTTAATTTAAAAAATAAATTACAGGGGCTGGAGGTTTAGCTCAGCAGCGTAAGTGCCTGCCTTGCAAGCAGGCAGTCATGAGCTTGATCCCTGGTACTGATAAAAAGGAAAAAGACCAAAAAAAAATTACAAACTTAATTTAAAAAATAAATTACAAAAAACAAGGGTATGAAGTGGGGTGCAAATCCAGAAGGATAACAGACTTCAGAAAAAGGAGACATTCACTAAAATAAATTTTAAAAAATTAAAATGAAATTCTACAAGAGCTACTGTGTGCTATGTGGTGATATAAGAGTTACAGTCAAGGAAATCTGTTTTACGACTTACCATTTCGTTTCTGATCACTGCAATACCAACGACCTGTTCCGCCACTTCTGCCACAAATGCCTGCAGTGGTGTTCCATCCTGCAAGGACAAACAGTTGCTTTAGGCTCCATGAGTGTGGTCATCAGTGTCCCCATGAGCATCACAGGTGGACAGGTGATCACGACACTCTAACCACCATGGCACAACAATTGCACATTTGACAAGCAGGACTGGGTGTTAAGTTCCAAGTCCTGCCCATGCCTGCTCACCTTCACCCCAACTCTCCAACAGGTATGATTCTATTTACAAGAAAAAACAGTGTGTGAGACTTGGTAACTTGCAAGTCCTGTGCTAAGATGGTCCCAATCAATGATGCAAGCGCAGGCCCTGTTCCTCAGAACCCACCTTCTTTACTCTACTCTAGTAGTCCCCAAATTCTATGATCTCAAGACCACTGCACACTGAAGACCCCAAAGAGCTTTGGTTTATGTTTGCAATTCTACCACCACCTTCTATATTAGGCAGTAAGATTGAGAAAAATTTTGACCTTGGGAAATTATATTTTTTTATTATTATTTAAAGAGAAAGAAAGAAAAACATGGAGGGAAAAAGGGTAAAATAATACAGAATTACAGAAAAATAATAAAAAATTACTAGTTGATAAATTACATATTGTCATCTTAGAAATAGTTGTTCAGGTGACAAAATTAAAGCATACAAAGTGACATTCAAATAGTGACACTGCCAACAGTTCTGCACAATGATCCAACAAAAACTTAGTAATATGGTTATCAGTCCTACACACTTGTTTTTTTATCTTAAAGAGGGTAAGATTAAACATATCAAAACAGAACAAAACAGTTCATAAAGAAACAATTTAAAGAAATACAGATTTCAAAGCAAGTCCACTGGAGATCTTCACTGTCTATCTGATTGTCTCTAGTTTTCTTCCAAATAGTTGCCCCCATCTTTGCACACTTTGAATACATACTACATGTTATAGAACGAATCAAATCATTACAGGATGATGAAGGGTTTTTAGGTCTTCAAGATTTGACATTGGGGAAGTCAATAATGACTACCATAGTAGTCATTCTTGACTCTTCATAGTAGCTGTCCTTATCTTTATGTATGCTGAAATTGATCTTAAGAGACTAGACTAACATCACTCTGAACAGTGAATAACAGTATTGCTAGATTTTATATCATAATGTTATAGAATTAGCATTGGGTTTCTTAGTGTGTCTTCTTCTTCAGTGTATCTGTTCACTGCATCTTGCCTTATATAATCTGTTCCTGTTAATAGTTTAAAAAATTCTTCCCATGTGTGAATTTCTACATGTATATATATCCTCTCTGTATTATAGGGAAAAACAGATCATAACATGATAACAAAACAAATTCCTAGAAAAATATGCAATGAAAAAGACACATAAGACCACAATATTAGGTGATCTACCATAGTTACTATGCTTTCTCCTGTTATTTTCAATAGACTTGTCCACATCATCAGGCTTAATATAGTTAAGCATAGTATTACATACCTATTTTTATAAAAGCGCAACTTTGAAAACATTGTAGGATTTGAGAGCAGTTAATAATCAAAACTGGTATGGATATCTTTTACATCTTGTCATCTTCAGAGCAGTTGCCTCTACTTTTAGACTTGACACTATCAAGCATACCAAATTCGAATAAAATCAGCCAAGGCAAAACTGTGGTCTAACAAACCAGCTTCAAATAAGATTAGTCATAGTAAGACAAGTAAGTAATACAGGGTTTCAGTTTAAGTTAACAGGAAATTAAACGTAGTTACTGTGGTATAACCTGCTATTTTTGGGTTAGCTGTCTGTGCACTCAAATCTAACATAAGAAGACAGACTGGAGCAAAACATAATCAAACTAAACAGAGTGATAAGACTACTGTGACTTTTAAATCCTGATACACTATTAACAATGACCTCTGCCTTCCTGTTTTAGGCTATTTTTCACCTTTCCCCTTCTCAGTATGTTTTGGGTCTCACTAGTCCCTTTTGTTTTTAGATTAGGGGGCCAGCCTGTTGTCTATCTGAGTGTTGCCCTGAGCTTGATCTTGAACTGTACTCCTTTACTCACTAAAGTCATAGGGTTTTTCTTCCTTCCAGCTGTGTCATAGCTTTCCAATCTATCTGCAGCTGCTGGATGAATTGTCCCTATTTCTCTCTGGTTTCCTGTCACATATAGCTTTGCTTTCTCATCTTTGACTTTCAGTTTATTAACCCTCCTTCAGGTTGAGTATATTTCCCATTGAGAGCATCTCGATGGAGCCTCCTAATCTACTCTGCCTGTTTTTTTTTTATTTTAGTGTATCAAGTCTATCTATATTAAAGATTATAGCTTACTGTCTCTGCCTCATGTCTGCTACTCCACTTTACTGCTATAATTTGTCCACCTTACTCCCTCATTCCAGTGTCTGCTCCATTCATTGAGGCCTCTCTGCCACTGTTGCTGAAATCCTGGTAGCCCTTCCTCTCTCTCTCTCTCTGGAATGTCCTTCAGAATTCTTTGTAGGGTTGGGTTGGTGGCCATGAACTCCCATAGCTCCTCCTTGTCTTGGAAACATCTTATTTCTCCACTAATTTTGAGAGAGAGTTTTTCTGGGTATATCAGTCTTGGTTGCAAATTATTTTCTTTCAGGGCTTGGAATATTTCCCCTCAGGTTCTTCTCGATTTGAGACTTTGTTGATAAGTCTGATGTTACTTTGATAATTTTTCCATTGTAGGTAATCTGCTTCTTTTCCCTGGCTGCTTTTAGTATTCTGGTTTTTTTTTTTTTTTTGGTAGATTTCTGGAATCTTGATTATTATATATGTCTGGGTGTAGATCTGTTTTGGTTGTAGGTGGCTGGAGTTCTGTATGCCTCATTTATCTGGATATCATTTCTTTTTCCTATGCTTGGAAGTTTTCCTTTAATGTATCTGTGAATATGCTTTGTAGTTCATTTTTGGTTACTTCTGCTTCCTCACTCACATGCTTTATTCTTAAGTTATGTATCCTTTTGTCATCTTCTAGCCTTTGAACTGTTTCAAACTCTGGTACCTCGTTATTTTTAGGAGGTCTTTTCTTTTGTGATCATATATCATAAATCTCTTCAAGTTTCAAAAGGCTAACTTTATTTCTGTCAAGGCATTTTGCCAGTTTTCAATGGAGTTTTTAGTTTCCTGATAATCTCTTTGGATCTGTTTCATGTATTCTAGGTTATGTTTAAGTTCTTCTTCAGAGGTTTCTCTTTCTTTTCTGATTTCCTCCATTCTTCCATCTGTGTTCTCTTGGGAGGGGCTTATCATTTCTTTAATTAATCTTTTTATATCTTGCCTCACTTGGATCAGAAGTACAGTTTTAAATTCGCCTATGAGGTCATGAAGGTATTTCTTTATATCTCCTGATGCTATGTCTAGTATTAGATGGTTATTGCACTGGTTCTCTTCTGTATTTACTTCTCCTGGGCTTATTTTCCCAGGTTCGGCAGCTGGAGATTTTTTTTTTTATTTCTATCTCTTGTCATGTTTCTAGTTTCTTTCAGACTGGTGTGTCCTAAGGGTCTCTGGCCCCTCTCCATATTGCTTAGGGTCTTTCCAAGGTGTGCTGACTGGAGTTTTTGCTGCCCTCCCCAGGAAATTATATTTGTTAACAAAACAAAGTTTATGAATTTTTAATGTATTGATAAAGCAAAAATTTAAACTTGTTTATTATTTCATTCGAGGATAACAGTACATATTTAAACTTGTTTATTTGGTTTTTAAATGATACAAAGCACAGTAATATAAATGATGTATTGTAATAAAAATAACTCTATTTTCCAAAACAAAAACATTCAAAAAGAGGCACTGTTTTCTGTTGTTGAAAATCTCTTGAATGTGTGGCTTAATAGAAGACAGCTGGATTCTCACATCTGTAGTCAGTCTGTTGCAATATGTTATTTTGGTTGAGATATATGTAAAAGGATTCTGTCTTCACAAAAATACATAAAAAGGGAGATACATTTAAATAATCTTTCCACACAATTATGGACATTCCTCCCCAGCAATCCACCAAAACTCAATGACTGGTAGTGTTTCACAGATTATCTGCAATGTGGCATCTGAAAAATATATCAATGAACACTATATACACTGGCATTCTATTAAAATGGGCCAGTTTATCTTGTATATAGAATGACTCTTTTATTTATACATGCTTTTGGTAACATCATGCATTTTCATCATTTAACATCATGCATGTTTCCCTGGAAAATGTCAATTTGCAAAATGTTGATCCCTTCTATTACAGAACATCCAGCATTACCTTCATTCACATCACCATCCATTTTACCAGAAAGCGTCTTAAGTACTGGACAACTGGCTCATCAAGCTCCTGATGACAGATAGTTCTCTAAATTCTGTTTTTTCCTGATTGGATTACATCATAGGGGACAAATCTGCTGGGCTGAGGGACTTGATGATTTTACTGCTTCATCAAGGATATCATTTAGTAGAACTTGCCTTTCCTTTTTTAAACTGAGATAATTAATCATATATTCACATGTGAATGCTGGGTGAGCGCAGTGTGCAGGGGATTTCTGCATTCCCTATCAGTAAGAGCCTGCAAAAGGATGACATAAGACAAGTGAGAAACTGACACTGATTCGTGAGCAGGGAAGGGGCAGGTGTGGGTGTGCATGTGTGTGCATGGTGCATGTGTGTATGTGTGTGCCTATGTGTGTTACATTCTCTGCAATTTTGTCTCTCATACAGGTTTCCATAGCCACCACACCACAACACCATACACTATAATCTCCCCACCATACTCCTTCATAACGACACCCACCACCCTATCTGGCAACACATGATCTGTTCTAAGCTTCTAAAACTGTGCCACTTTGAGATGTCTGGTGAATGAGTTCACACAGTGTACAGCCTGGGAAGGCTGGCCTTCATCCATACACGGCGGTTTGTGCGGCCACCATGCCTCTTTCCTGGCTGTGCCACGTCACCAGTAAGCTGAGCCCCAGGGTGCAGCCACTGATCTGAACATGTCCTCACTTCCCTGCAAGAGATTCTCAGGGGTACCTGCCAGGCAGACAACTGCAGGCTTAGTTTTGTGAGCAACAGACATTGTGTTTCCCAGAGCAGCTGCACCTTCTTTTTTTTTTTTTTTTTTAATTTTATTTAAGGAGAAAAGAAAAAAAAGCAGAGAAAGGGTACAAGTTATACAGATTTGCAGAAAAAAAATGAACAGTAGGAAATTACTAGTTAATGGATTACATATTGTCATCTTAGAAATAATTGTTCAAGTCACAAAATTAAAGCTTGTAAAGTGGACATTCCATCAATCCCGCCAGCCACGTAGGAGTGAGTCAGTGCCCTGCGTCCTCACAGGCAGCAATATACCCCAGTGCAGTGGAAAGTAGTGTGATTTACTACTCATCTGGTGAAAATAGCATGGCCTCAGACACCTAAAGAAAATCTGTGTCTTGGAGACTAAGTATCCTAGGCCTGGGCTCCTTAGCCCACACGGAGAACTCACACCAGCTCTTATGCCCAGAGGGGCCAGGGAGAAAAGAGCAAAAGAGACCAAGACAAAGTGAAGATAAAAGAAGGATATGGCTGGGCTCCTATGCAGTGGGTGACAATGGGGTCCCAGGACCCTGAGCCTGGCACAAGAGTGCTGCTGGGTGGGCACCAGATACCCGTGGGTCCTGAGCTCCCTTCCATAACCACGGTCAGAAGTACCTGTTCTGGGGACCAGAATCCACCTCATTTTATGTTTATCTGCAAATTCAAATATTCTACCCTCACAGTACGGTTGTAAGGAATCTCGTCACTCCTGTCAGGGCCACCAGTGCAGGTAGCAGCCGCAGCTCCAAGCCCTTCAGGTTCCTGTTTCTCTCTTCCATGCCCCTCTGTGATCCCAACTAAGCTGCTTCCCACATCCTCTTCTACTGTGGCTCCAGGCAGGGCCACATCTGCGCAGGCTGGAGGGTCCCACACATGTAAGGAGGAGTTGCTGCTGCTCACCGGGTCTCTGCGGGCCTCGTTGTACTGCGCCAGGTCCTCTAGGATGCTTTGGCTCAGCATGAGGGAGCTCAACAGCTGCTCTACACCGGGCGTGTCTGCACGGTTGGCTAATCTTACAGTAATGGACCTGGAAGGGGAGAGAGGCTTTTCTCAGGTTACAGTGCTAACCATGTCCGCTCCCCAGATGGAGCCCAGCTTATAACACGTCACGCTTACCAAAATAATAACCAGCAAAGTGCAGGTGGGCGACACTGAGGTTTAAGTAGGTTTATACTCATTTTACTATAGAAAAGCTAAGAACAAACATCCGAAAAAGTGCAAAGAACAAGGTAAAGTCACAGATAATGTCATTAACCAAAGGTAAAACTATTATGCCTTTTGTTTCTTTTTGGTGTTGGGAATTGAACTCAGGGTGCTATGTCCCCAGCCACTTCTGTTTTTAGTTTTCAAAATAGGTCCTCGTTAAGTCACTGAGTTGCCAGTTTCAGCTTGAACTTGGAATCCTCTTGGTTCAGCTTCCCAGAATGCTAGAAATGAGGTGTGCAGCACCATACCTGACTAAAGTTACACTTCAAATACGTGTAATGTACGGAATTCAGAACATTCAGCACTGTGTTTCATTTCATGTTGGAGAGCTATCTCACAGGCAGAGAAAAGTGCCCCCACCCCTTTAAAGATTGGTCAGAAGTTAAAAGTTACGTGGACTGGGGCTGCTTCCTGAGTGCGTTCCCCACAGAGAGGCCCGGGCTGCATGCAAGCTCCTGTGTCTGATTTGCTTCACTGAACATTAAGGCCCCAAGGTGCATCCATCTTCCTACAAATGACTCAAGTTCATGCTTCTTCATGGGAGAGCAGTGCTCCACTGTGTGTAAATACCACGGTGTCTTTATCCATGCATCTGCTGATGGTCATGTAGGCCTCTTCCAAGATTCAGCTGTCACGAACTGTGCTTTAAGTGAAAGAATTCAGTTTGATACACATACTTTTCACCAAAATCTATTTCTACTAGATTAAAAATGTACAGGTGTAAAAGAATCCATAGAAAATACAAGGGAAATACTCAAGAAAATTTAAAATGTATGTCTGTACAAAACCCTGTACATGACAGACTCTCTCTGATGAATGTGATCCTTAGGTACATCTAACATGGACCAATAAAACCTAACATAAAACGAGGAAGTAGCATTTGACATCATAAAAAACCAAAAAGATCCTGTACATGCATGCTTACAGAGGTGTTAGTAACAACAGCTTCAAAAGAAAAAACAGCCCAAATGTCCATCAACTGAGAGACACACAAGACATGACACATACACAGAGTAGAGTATATTCACCCAGGAAAGGAGATGAAATAGTAACACAGGCCTCAATATCATTGAACCCAACACACATTATATGAAAGAAAAACAAGCTGTCTACAAAAGGCCACACATTATATAATTCTTTTTATGGGAAATGTCCACAATACAAATACTTACAGAGACAGGGGCTAGGAGAACGGAATCAGAGTGACTGCTTACTGGCTCTGGGGAAGGCTTTGGGGTAACAAAAATGTTTGGGGGCCAGGATGCTCATAAACCTGTACTTGCTATTAAGCAGTGAGCTTTGAGTGGGTGAACTCTATGATTACAGCTCAGTTTATACTTTATACACACACAGGCACACACACATTCAAAGAAAAGGAAAAGGAAAGTGGCCAGGAATGGCCCTAAAAATGCACTCATATAAATATCGGACAAAATAGACCTTAAAATCAGAAGGAGAAAAAAGTCTTTTGTTGTTGGTAGTGTTTTTTTGGTTTTTGTTTGTTTACTTGTTTGTTTTTGAGATAGGGTCTTGCTATGCAGTTTAGGCTGGCCTTGAGCTCACTTTGTAGCCCAGGCTTGTCTTAACTTGCAAAGATCCTCCTGCCTCAGCCTTCTGAGTGCTGAGATTACAGACATGCGCCACCACACCTGGCAAGAAAAAGTCTTTATTTGATAATAAAGGTTAAAAGTACACTGGAACATATAATAATCTTAAATACTTAGACATCTATCAACATAACTTCAGGAGAAAACTTGACAGGGAAACTGGAATCAGACAAAAGATTGAAAATATGTGCAGGGTTTGGATATGTTTCAGCCAAAGGATGGCACAGGCCCCAGGGAGCCGGGCTGGCTCCCAGTGGCTGTCGTGTTGCCCTCCTCCCAGCAGCCACTCCTGACTGTGTTCACGGCAACTCCAGCCTTCCGCTGGCTAGGAGCTTGGGTTCACTTCGTCTTTCTGTAATGCCTTTCTTTCAGCCTGGCCACCCGTGGAATTAGCTCTCCCTTTAAATTCATGAGGACCCACCCACTTCTCCCAGCCTCTGGAGCCTGTACCCCCCAGCTTCTCCAGCCTCGGGTGTCTCCATGTTTTCATCATTGACCCCCAGACCCATCCCCAGCAGAGGCAGCAGAATGATGGTTGTGGACCATCAGGTCTAATCACAAGACACTTCCACACAAAGCCCTGCAGTGGAGGTGCTCTTAGTTAGCTCTTCTAAGCCTAGGGCCCTTTCAGAGCATCTGTAAATGGGTAAAATAAAATGCACGGGGCGACCACATCTGAATTTCATAAAATAAACATGATTCAGCAGTGGCCTAACAACAGCCACCATCCTGCTGCATAGATGAGAATAAGCAAGAAGTGGTACTTGAGGATATCCACGGAGACAGGAAAACACTCAAGGTCCCCAATGATGCAAAAACACAGCTACTGTGGCTACTGCCGTGGCCTGTGACCCACTTTGCAATGGAAGCAGAGGCTACTATTTCACAATACAAAGATGTACATTTTTGCCTGAATTCCACCCTCTATGGACCCAGTGAAAATCAAAGCCCTAGAGGAGCCGGGAGCCCTGGGACCACAGCCTCCTCCCGTGTCCTTTGTCCAGGGTCTCAGCTTTCTCTGATTTGTGTCTCAACCTTCAGAGTCTGGCTTTCCTGCTCGGTCTCCCAAGCCACCATGCTGTTCCTCAAAAGGGCTTGGAACCTTCCCCAGAGTCTGGGCTCCCACCCATGGCCTCTGAGCAGTTCTGCCCCTGGGCATGAAGTGTCTGCTAGGCCACCCCCTCTCTGTGGTGCCATCCCCTGACCCCTAGGGAAGAATCTGGGAAGCCTGACCTCCTAGCCCTACTCCTGTTCTCTGTCTCTATGCACTTTCTAGCTCCTGTTTAGCTTGTTCACCACTTGTCTTTGCCCGTTAAGATGGGACTGCTGGTCTCTAGCCCCTGCTGCACAGCAAGCCTAAAGCCACTCGGTGCTCAAGCAACAGCTGTGCAGGGATCAAGCCTCCTGTGGGGCGATGGCTGAGGTAGCCCATGCTGGAAAGTGAGCAAGTGTGTGATGTCCAATCCCAGGAGGCTTTAAAAACACCACAGTCCCAGGGTCTCCCCAGCCCACAGCAGTGCTACTGAAGTGGGATTCTGGCTGCTTCCAGCCAAGGGTCGCAAAGGCACAGTCACTGTCTCACTCCTCTGTCCATGAAGCTCTCATACAGTTCATGGGATGTGATTGTGGCATGTCACACTGTGATGCTTCTGTGCCTGTCCTGTGTGTGAGCCAAGGAGGATATGCAAGCATTCCCATCAGGAGGAGGAAGGTCAACACTGGACATCTCCCTCCCGCTGTGAAACTCCGCATCCCACCCAGGACAGGTGCCTTAGACACAGGGGTGAGATGGCTGCACAGTGGGAAGAGACCACGCAGGGTTGAGCTGCATGGTAACTACAAAACAACAACCAGTTTTAATTGTAAAAAATGAAACATCTCATTAATCCTTTTTATACTGACTACACGTTGAAAGAGTATGTTAGATATAATAGGTTAAATAATACATACTGTAATTTTTACCTACTTCGTTTGATTTTTAATTTAATGTGGGTTGTTGCTGTCAGATTTACAAGGGAAAGGATTTAATACATGACACATAATTTGTAGGATTATTTTATAATATTCATACAGAGAGTCAAATGCTAGGGTGCTAGAGTTCTTTCCACACATTAGAGGCCCAAAGAATCCAGCTTAGGACCTGGAACCCATAGTGGTGTCCTACACAAGTCCAACTGGAGGCCTAGAGCCCATGACAATGTCTCATGCAAGTCTGTATCGATTATCTGCACTGGGAGGCCCAAAGCTCAATGGTGGAAGCTAGAAAATCTATGCCAGTGTGGTAAAGGATCTGTGCCAGCAGCTGAAGGATCTGCATTGAGCCAGGAAATGATGTTGGAGCTGAGGATCAGAGTCCCCTGAAGAGAACCACAGACATCCTTACTAACAATGAGGACCGGAGCCCCACCAACGATGAGAATGGCTGAGCTTGTATCAGGAAAACCAGGATAACAAGCTTCTCCAGAAAAAACCACACACCACCTTCCCCTCCAGGTCTCCTTTTATGCTTTTGGCAATAATTGTCTTATCTATCCACTGGCTTCTCCATCACCATAAAAAGGAAGGACCATTTCCCTTGCTCACCTTCACTGGCCTGGTTCCTCTCACATCTCTGGCCTCCCTCTCTTTGATGATTCTGTACACCAAGTCCATGACACTTCAGGAAACATCTCTAGAGCCCTAGGTCCCCTCCTTTGGAACCTTGGCCACCTGCTTCCCAACCATATGCTTTCTTTCTGTTTTTGGCTGTGTGCTCTCAAAGGTCAGAGTTTATAGTATTTAATCAGACTACATATGTACATAATAAAATAAGAAATTGCATAGGAAAGTAGAGTGAAAAAGACTTGCCACTTAAATTTTCAAACTCCAGTTAAATGAATGAGTTGTTCCAGCTATCTATAAATTTGTGTGTGTGTCTAGTCACTCGGCCATGAACAAAACGAGCAGCTTCGATGCCAATAACTGACGACAAAGAGGTGGAGGGGAATGACCAGAGCTTTTCTGACTCCAGAGGGATGTGCTCTGCAATGTACCCTGAAAGGATACTGTAGTCACCAAGAGTGCCTTTTAAACCTACACCAAAGAAACAAGCAAGCAAAAACACTTAAAACCCACACATGAGCAAATAGTATAACACACACAAAAAAACCCAAGCTTCTCTTGGATTCTGTTCAAAAGATTCAGTGAAAAGAAAGGGCAAAGAATCAATAGCACT